AGAGATATGAAACGAAGAAGAAGAGAGTGAAAGGAACGGAGCCACTGTGGCCAAAACTTGCAAACCCTAAAGAATGATTGAACCCTAACAAAACATTGTGTCATTTGCCTTGGGCCTGACTCGCCCCAAACATTTGCCCTAAGCCCATTTTTGTTTTACCAACGCACCCCCCCTTTTCCTTCCTAATTCTTGTTCTTCTCCATTTTTATTTGGGCCTACTCCTTAACATTAATCCTAGGCCCATCATCTTTTTTAATTTTATCTTTGTTAAACTAATACTTTTCTTTTATTTTCATTTTAAGTAATTTGATCCTTTTTTTTTGTTAATAATTACTTTAATTTTCTTAACATAGTTTTAATTTTCTTTATTAAATTAAGAATTGTTACATTAATAAAATACAAATGTAATAAGAATTTTATTTAACTAATTTTGTTTTCTTTAAAAAATATGTGAATAATAGAATTTTGATTAAAAAGTTTTTCTTTCCTTTCATAACTAATAAAACACAGATAATAATAATACTTAATCTTCACTAGGTTAAATTTTATTTGTTCATTTGTAAATAAATACATGCATCTCATAATTTACTGATTTTCCTTAATTTGTTATAATTTTACATTGAATTGCGACAGTTCGATTTGGTTGTAACGCATAATATTTGGACATTATTATTCTTATGAGACTCATCCCCATTTGTAAATAATTGTACCCCCATCCCCGAATACTTTTTTGTAATAACTTAGACTTTAAATTCCCGCAATTTATTGTTTTCAATATACTGTATAGTAATTAGGGTTTGTATGGCAAGATTCAAAATCAATCGCTGGATAACCTAATACAAGAAAAAATGCATGAAAAACAAACACAATACACACTTGCACCCCTAGGGTTACAATCCACTTGTTGCCTTCAAAAATGGGCCATGGTATACATGTTAAGTACTTTGGCAAAACAAAAACAAAACAAAAGATCATAGTCCCTCGATGACGCTATCTGAGTTGCCTAAACAAAATGGTCAAGTCCCTCAAGAAAATTGCCAAAAATACTTAGCACCATTGCTATCATGGTCTATACGATGACCCGCGCCTGTCCCGTTTAACATCCTAACACAAGGTTGTTCACCAAATACAATGGTGAAACAACACTGTTAAAAGGGTTAAAAACATAAGAAAGATCTTTGAGTAAAATAGGGTAGACAACTCTTAGTTACTTGATCAAAAACTTGCAAAAACATCCTTGCTATTTTCAAACACACTTCACAACACAATTTCAAAATCTAACTTTCAAACATTGAAAACTTTTTCAAAAGACAAAAACACCTTTGTATACATTCAAACAAGAATCATTACAAAGGTTGTCACAATGATGGCCTCTTTTCAAAATATCTTTCCAAATCACACACAAAGCACCATTTCAAACAATTGAAGAGCACCATTTCAAACAATTGAAAAGCAAAGCAAGTGATCTAAACAAGTAACTAAGAGTCCATGGATAACCATGGATAGAAAGGGTGCTAATACCTTCCCTTTCTATAATCTACTCCCTGAATCGAAGAAAACATCTCAAAGGTCTTTCCTGTGCTTTTTGACCTTTCCTTAGGATAAAATAAAAAGTCGGTGGCGACTCTTTCTAAACCGAACAAACGCAAAACCTCAAGTCAGTTCTCCCATCGTATCACAGTAGGTATAGGTGAACGAACCTTTAGCGACGGTGCAAGGAGAGAGATGAAGATGTGTCCTCCTCTGATTTGGCCATTTGAATTTGCGCGCAAAATTTCCACTAAATATTTGTTTTCATATATTATTATTATTTCATATTATGATAACAAAGATAACTAGCCCAATGGTACCCAGGCATGTGCTTAAGCCGTTGGAATGCGTGAGGTCAGGGGTTCGACCCCTGCCTCCAACATTTGTGGTTTTTCTTGATTTATTTCAGGTTATCCAGTGCATATGCAATACCCAGAACCATGGTACACCCTCATCATCAATCAGGCCAATTGTCAGATGGCCAGCATCTGAAGGTGCACCAAGGCCAAGTCAAATGCATCACATGGGATCCTCAAGGTCAACGTGGACCTTCTCTTTTGGGCCCAGAATTTTGTTTGCACCCTCCAAATATTGCTATCCAGACCCATTTTCTCACTCTTTTTTTCTTTTTTACATTTTATTTAATTATTTCATTTAATTATTTTTATTAACAAATTAAATTATTTTCTTTTATCAAAAAAATCACCAAAAAATATTATTTTTCACTAATTAAATTTTAGGTATTTATTTTTAGTAAAAAGTCAATTAATTTAATTAGGTCATTAATTTTTTAGATAACTTTAATTTATTTTACAAATAATTAAAATTAATTAGAATAAATAGGTTTTTATTACTAACTTAATTATTTTATTTTTTTCCTAAAATAACCAAAAACCAAAAATATGTCATTTAATTATTTTCATTAGTTAATTTAATCACTAATTAATTTTCACATTTAATTTAGAAAAACTTAATTCTTTTCTTTAAAAATAGTAAAAACAACAAAAAACAATTTTCTCTTTTAATTAGGTTAGGAGGGTCAAAACCCTAGTTTCTCGTCGATCTATTTTTTTTAATCACGCGCTTTATTATTATTTTGCCCAATTATTGTATCTGCTCTCGGTTTGTAATAATTTAATTAGGACATTTATTTATTTTTACCGCTTTTAATTTCAAAGGGTTTGTTTTTGGATATGTAAATACCCGAAGTCTTGTAATAGCGTAGTTTAATTTCCGCACTTTAAAATTCCGCAAATTATTAACTGTTAGATGTATGAATAATTAGGGTTTGCATGACAAGAATGTATGTCTAATGTTAAAACAGTTAGATCACCCTAAATGTGCAAAGATAAAATAAAATGAAATTGAATCACATGCACATGCGCACTTCTAGGGTACACTCTCACTTGGTTGCCTTCAGTAAACGGTCATTGAGTATAGGGTGTTTAAGTGGTCGTCCTTTTGTCCAAAGATCAAGTTGCCTCGGAAAGGTTGCCTCGGATATTGTTGCCTCGGATAAATGATCTAAGACATTAGGGTTACTACTAAGACGTCTTAACATTGCTTTAGTGACCGTACGTCCCTTTCGAATTGACCCTCAAACTCCAACGACGGTGCTACCTACTCACTAATAGTGGGATAGCGTTGTCTAAAGGAAACGAATACAAAACGATTCTTTTTTCGAGTAGGTAGATTAATTCTTAAGTACTTGCTCATTCCAAACAAATTTTTCACACTTACACTTCTTTATAAACAAAGTTTTCAAAAACACTTCATTACACTCTTGAAGACAGAAGCAAGAGTTAAATCGAAGTCAAAACAAAAACTTTTCAAAGTGCACAAACACAAAGAAAACAATTTTGAAAATGATGAGCAAGTACCTAAGAGCCCGTAGATAACTACGGATAGAAAGGGTGCTAATACCTTCCCTTTCTATAAATCTACCCCCCATACTCAGAAATATCTCGAAAAAAGGAATTTTTCTGTGTTTTTTTCCTTTCCTTGTTGGATAAAATAAAAGGCGGTGGCGACTCTTGCTTACCGCGACATTTTGAGAAAACAAACGCAAAACGCAAACCAGCAAAATTTCCTTAACGAAATAAGGAAACCACGATCCCGGTTCTGGCCACCGTATCACAGAATTGGCGACTCTGCTGGGGAGTTAATAAGTGGGGTGTACCTTAGGAATAGTTCACTATATTGTTTTCGATTGTTTGATCTGTTTGCTTTATCTTTGTGGGCTTGTATCAGAGTTACTATAGATCCTAACCCGGATCTGGGGACACCTTTTAGGTAAGTAGCAATAGACTGTGAGGGAACTGTATGGCGTAGACCCTTTAAATCTTCTGCACCAAACCCTAACTTACCTTTTCCCTTAATGTCTTCAGTAACAGCCCCTTCCTGACTTTTCACCTTCAAACCTTCAACACCACTCTCATCAATCAACATACTTTTCTGTTTTTTCAAAGATTGGGACCCATATGTTGCCTTTTCCCAATTCTTCTTCTAATCTACAGCAAATTGTTGCTTTTCCAAATCCCATGAAAGGACACTCTTTTTGCTAAGTCTTCTCCATTTTGTTTCTAGAGGAAACCCTTGAAAGGATTTGTAAAGAAAACATGCCAAAAACAACATATTTCAGGGTAAGTGTGAAAACTAATACATAAAATACACATGCAACAATGATAAATGAACAATCTAACCTTTCGCGTGCCCTAAAATAACCTTCGGTTGTCATCTTGTGATGGAAGAAGAAAGTTACTGCTATTGTTGTTGGAATGCACAAAATCTTTGATTACAGAAGCGTTTCCACTTTCACATGTTATTTGTAGTAATTACTTTGGGCATATGTCTCCTAAATGTTTTCCTAGGCTTGATCCATTTCACAAATACAACTCAAATGTTTTTTCTTAATTTTTTGGTCCAATTATAAATATTCATTGCTTTTTTTATTATAATTTAATTTAATCTTTTTTTCATTCTAATACATAATCTTTTTTCATTCAAATACAACTCCTAAATTTTTTTTTAATCTTTTTTTTTTCTAATTTTATGGTCTAATTAACAAATAATTGATAAAAAAAATATGTTTAACACAGCGCTACCTGTGCGAACGCACGAGTATCTCATTAGTTTTTTTTAATAAGAGAAGAAATAGCTACCAAGTAAAAAAAACCAATTTTGACTTTTCTCTAAATTAACAACCAATGGATTATGGACAAATGTCCAAGTTATTTACAAAATAAATAAAAAACAAAAGTATACACATTGCAACATTCAGAACGAAATAAGCAAAAACACATTTCTTTCTCAAGCGCTCAATCTCTTCTCCCTCTCTGCCACAATACTCTCTTCAAAGTCCAAATTAAATTGTAAAAAACAATAATTAAACCATGTCTCATACAACAAACATGAAGGATTACATATCTGGTCCGATGTTGTGCAGTTAATTTCGTGAAGTTTAGGTTGAGATGGATTTGTGGTGGGAGATGAAGGGCTTTTGTGATGGTTGCAATTCGTGGCTGGGAGTGACCGGCGGTGCAAGGCGAATGGATTGTGTGTTCTATAAGTTGCATTGTTTCAGGGGAAGATCACGGTTTTGACGGTGATATCGTGTAGTGGTGGTGGAGAGCAATTCCGTTCCTTTGCTGTTGTTTCGACTGCATTTTTTCTTCGTGTCTTTTACCAAGATCAGTCGTATAGCTTTCCATGCATTCCTCTGTAACGACATCAACGGTTTTAAAGGAGCCTCCAATCCCTTCACTGTATGGCTAATTTGCACTTGTTGTTGTCTTGGAATGGCAAAGATGATGTTGTTGTTGTATCGTGTTGTTGGTTGCTGCATGGTCGCGTATTGCTCATGGAGGAATGGTTGTTTTCGGCGTTGGGTCCGTGTCTTGCGGTGGCTCTTGGTGTCGAGGGTGTTTTTGGTGTGTGGCTCCGTCATGGGCACCGAAGGATGGTTGGCGGTGAGCGTGTCGGATCCGTGGAAGTGTGGTGGCGGATTTGAAGCGAGGTTATTCGTGGGTGGCGCTGCTCAGAGAAGTTTGCACTTTCTTCTTCTTTTCCTTTTTTTTCCAGAATTTTGTGATTTTTATTTATTGGTTGTTGTGTTTAGAAGGAACTTATGAATGCTCATGTTTAATGGAAGAAGTTGTAGATGGATATGGTGTCTGTGAGTTTTGGTTTTGAATATTGAAACAGTGAATGCATATGTTGTGCCTTGGGTTGTCCATGGTGTTAGAAGGTGAATGCAAGTGATGATGATGGTCAGTAAGATTTTGAGGTTTTTGTGTGTTTTAAAAGAGATGTATTAAGAACATGTGATGACTATGATAAGGTTGTGAAGCTTCTTTAAAGGTGTACGGTTTTGTGTTAATTCTGTCATTTTGAAGAAAAAAAGGGTTTGACCTTGACTATTACAAAAGAGTGTCAAGAAGTTTAATTCTATACACATATTTATAAGACTAAAAGCAAGATTTTTTTTCTGTGCGTAAAAGATAAAAGGAAATTGCGTAGGATGCATGTGTGGTGATTGTTGTTAGTGTAGAAAAAAAGTTAATGTATGTAAGTGAGAAAATTGGTTAAAAAAATCAAAGAGTCAAATTAGATAATCATCATCGTATGGTTGAAAATAAATAAATAAATAAAATTGTTTGATAATGAAAAAAAAAATCATTATACAAAATTAGTGGTGTGAAGAAGTTTAATAATAACTTTTTTAAAAAGAGAGTCAGAGGAAGAAATAATCATCGCCAGAATCATCATGTTCCTCCTATCATTCCTGCATTCAATTTACCTTCTGCAGCTTCAGTTCATCAATAGAATCAACAAGTTCCTAATCATAGGAAATCTCGATTTGATCTAATTCCAACAACTTATACAAAGTTATTGCATGTCTTGATGCAGAGGAATTTAGTTCAGACCCGACCTCCACCGAAGGTTCCTGAGAAGATGCATTGGTATTACAAAGCTGATTTGACTTGTGCCTTTCATCAAGGTGCTCCTGGGCACGATTTGGAGGGTTGCTTTACTTTGAAGATTGAGGTTCAGAAGATGGTCAAAGGTGGTATTTTATCATTTAAAGTCTTAACATTCAAGTCAACCCCTTTGCTAAAGCATGAGTGAATCTCTGTTGATTTTGGCCTTGAAGTTTAGGAGAGGTTTCCTTCAGCACAAGTCCAGATGGAAAGCCTTCCCAGATTATTAACTCATTTCTTCTTTTTGTAATTTTTCTTGTTTATCAAAACATTGTTTGCATGTAACAACTTGTTTGCATCTGAATGATTATCTTAATACAATGAGTATGTTTGTCTTGAAGAAATTCATTCATTTCACTCATATTTGTTTTCAAATTTTAAATTTCTTTTTGCATTATGATACCAACTTGTTGCCCATTCTCCTGCCTAGGCAGAGATTGAAGGGAGGATGATGATCTGAAAAACACAAAGTCTCTGATTGTATGCTTTTTGAGTAAAATCTTGCTGACGATGTACGGGCATTGTTTCAAATCCCTAAACACCGGAGATATAAGGAAGATCATCCCTTGCTAACCCCTTTAGAGCCTTGAAGTAGCGGTTTCTTTTCTATACTAAAAAACCCACAAATTTTAACCTGGGGCAGGGTAGTTTTCAGTTAATCTGATTGAGTGTTCAAAAATTCATAAGGAAGATATTTCTGAAGAGAAACTACGAGGGCTATCCTTCATGTATAATGAAGCCAGAAGATGTGGAACCACAATGTTATCCCTCATTCATCAAGAAACGAGGCAGTCACAATCCGCTCAACAAGTAAAGACAAGCTAATGTCACATGTTTTGTTCAAAAATCAGAAATCAAGAAAAAAGTAAAAGCCTGCTAAGTCGAAAACTTGAAAATGTGCGGCTTAGACAAAAATTAGGGCATCCCACTGGACTATCAATTCAAAAGAATTAGTTCAGGCAAAAGTTAGGGAAAATAAAAATTGCAAAGAAAGGAATACAAAGAAAAGTCCTCAGCAAAGAATAAATTGGTGACTACAAACACGAAGACATAAAGGTGGTTGCTACTCTGAAAGCCTCGTCGCTTCCTTAACTGTCACACAATCCTTTTGAGAGATGAACACTCATGTTGAATTAACTGAACATAGGGTTGGAGAACATCACGAAGAATGGGTGGGCACCTATAAATTTTGAGTCTTAAAAATCTTTTTTCTAAAAACCATAAACCAGGTCACGTTACAACCTTCAAAAGTCCTAATTGAATCAAGATTATTTTGAAAGCATACTTCAATGAGATAGTGTTCGTGACTCCCATGAATGTTTGCTAAATAGTTATGCTGTTATCATATGCTTTTGCTATACAAAAATAAATGATGCTCTAACTCGCAAGATTTATGCGATATCTTTTAAAAATCTTTAAGACTTACATAACTATTGCATTAGAATCTCATAATAAATTTTTTCTAACTGCAAAACATTTGTTTGATATCGAAGAAGCTCACATATAAGCACTAGCGATGAGTTTATTCTTTTAAGGCCTGGAACTCTGTTGAGTAATTGGAGAATCATTTCAAGAAACATCATATCCAGAGGCATGCCACATGAAGACCTTAAGCACAAAAATGTTGCTTCTCCCAGTTAATGATTTCCCAACTTGTTTACCCTTTTGGGGAAAAATTTGAAGACTTTGTTGTGCCAAGTATAGTCAATCTGGGGCAATCACATTGAGATTCGACGAATCTCTCTAAGAGTTTGAAGACACTAGAGCATCGTGGATGCCAGGTATTTTGTAAAATCCTCTTGAGACAATTTCTTCTCATAAACCATGTAACTTGGGGCATTTAATAAGTTAAGTTATTCGCAAGAATTATTGTGCATCACGCAGCTTATCAGCAGCAAACTTGGGGCATCAAAAATTAGTCCCAGGGGAAATTTAGATTTGTCAAGATATGTGATATGTTTTGTACACATTATCAGAGGGTGGTGTTCCCAGTATCTCCAGCTAAGCAAGACTTTTTTCTAGCTGAAGAATTGTTCATGTTATTATCCTTTCAATGGATTGTTGACGATAGAAGACTGGACTTTGGGTTTTCTACCAAAAAAAAAATCTTCCTCTCCAGAGAGATTTAAGCCTTGTAAAAGAACTTTGCTCCAATGATGGATTTTGTTCTATCTCCAGTAATGTTCCCATCTTATTGAGATTAGCTAAGTGTCGGGTTGTGCTGGGATGTCTTATCATCTTCAGTCTATCTCATCTATCTATTTTGTCAGCATATACATGACATTCATTTATTCGTTCACACTTACATCATGCACACACATTGATATTTGTTGATGTTCTTGATTCGTATACTTCAGTTATTGTATTTCCTCTTCTCAAATAGAGTGTCAACTTAAGAAGAAAGTGTCTCCTTTCTAATTCCCCACTGAGTTTATTCCTCATGGAAGAGTTGTTGTTTTAGCCTTCCTTTCTGTCTCAGGATAGGATAAGTCTCGGTTGAGTTTATTCCTCATTTGGTAGGGTCTTTTTTGACTGTTTCTCTCCAGTTTGTTCTAGGATTGAGTTTTATCTATTACAAATGTTACTTTGTGAATCTCTCTAAGCTGTGAAACCTTGATGAAGAGTGAATTGATCTTGCGTATGTAAATACTTGGTCTCCTCGGGAAGGATTTATTCATGGTTCCCCATTGAAGATGAACTTTGTTCCCTAGTAGTGATATCATAACATTCTTCTGGAATATCGACGTGACAACAAGCGGATGAATCTTTATTTGAGCAGTTTGATTATCTTTGAACTTCTTTATGTTATGACAAATGGCGGTCTCTTCATGAGCCGTTTATCCATCCCCGATGAAATTATTGATTCTCACCTCCAGCAATATCTTCACGATATTTTATTGACACCTTTGAAAAAACAGCAAGTGGCGGTCTCTTCATGAGCAACTTGTATGTTATTGTTATCTTTTAAAAACAACAAGCGGCAGTCTCTTCATGAGCAACTTGTATGTTATTGTTATCTTTTAAAAACAGCAAGCGGAAGTCTCTTCATGAGCAACTTATGTGTTATTGACACCTTTGAAAAAACAGCAAGCGGCGGTCTCTTCATGAGCAACTTGTATGTTATTGATACCTTTGAAAAAACAGCAAGCGGCGGTCTCTTCATGAGCAACTTATATGTTATTGTTATCTTTTAAAAACAGCAAGCAACAGTCTTTTCATGAGCAACCTGTGTGTTATTTACACCTTTGAAAAAACAGCAAGCGGCGGTCTCTTCATGAGCAACTTGTGTGTTATTGATATCTTTTAAAAAATAACAAGTGGCGGTCTCTTCATGAGCAACTTGTATGTTATTGTTATCTTTGAAAAATAGCAAGTGGCGGCCTTTTTATTTGAGCAACTTGCGTGTCCTCAACAATATGTTATCTCAGCAGCAAATGGCATCTCTCAGAAAAGACCCGTAGAGAAGTTTGTTGTAAAACCCCTTTCTTCAGTAAAAATCGGTAGTTCACTATTAGAAAAAGTTAGTGTACCTTTTTGTCTACCTTTGATCCTGAGTTGTAAACTCACCATCATCTTGGGTCAATAACCACCTATCTTTTCGCAGCCTATGCAAGGCGTCTTCTTTGATAAAGTCAGTAATTTTTTTCTTCTCTCGAAGTTGTACCCCAATAAGAGTCTCAATCGAAGTCTATGGCTCTATTCTCCAGTGGAGTTATAATCTCTTCCCCTGTGGGATTACTGTATAATGTGCTTGGATTCTCCAGCAGTAGCTTGTCTCATGCGGTACCATTCCTCATTAAATTCAAAATATTACATTCATATCACATCATAAACATAATTGCGGTATCTTAAGGCTAAAAATTGTGTATTCTATATTTAAGTCCCTTCAATCTCGTCGAAATGAAGATTCAAATCTTCTTATCTCTGGATAGAAGAAACGTAAATAGGGGCAGCTGTCATACCCCAATTTTTGACCTAAGATCCCATTTTTATTTTTGCATTTTTGTACAGAAGTCAAGGTCATTAAATACCATCGATTTTAACCTCTCACCTTCGAGCATTGACTATGCAGAAATTTTCAAGTATTTTGAACATTCTTAGTCTATGTATCACTAACTACTAATCAAGCACGAGGTGTGTGTTTTTTTGTTTCTTTGATTTCATGTGCAGAGACAGGTCTAAATCAAGGACATCAGGTGTTGTGCCTCAATTAGGGTTTTGAGTCCCTCAAGCCAGAAGTACAATTGATTATTGATTCTCGAAGACTGATTCATCAAGACACGACTTCAAAAGCTTTGTTCAGGCTTATTTTGATCACAGTTGTTTCAAGTGTGATAGCTTCTGTCTCGAGGAACTTCAGAGGATCGTGTGTTTATTTCCACACCTTGTTCGATAAGTGGTCTCAAGCTTCTCCCAAAATTCCCCAAAGCACAGTCAAGATTTCATCATCACTGGTTTACATGTGCATCAAGATGCTTTAAAATGCGAAGAAAGATCAAGTTTGCAAGTCGATTCAAAGCATTTCGCCCAAAAGTCAACTCTTGCAAGTTCAAGTTCAAACGGTCATAACTTCTTCAATTTTCAACGTCCTGAGGCGATTCTTTTGCAAAGTATCACAAATAGCATTATTTATAAGATTACTTCAAAGATTAAGGTTCAAGTCATGCCACAGACGTTTTCTCAAGAATGTTTGATTTTTCTGTTGGGATAATTCATGAAACTGGAGTTTTAGTCCAATGATTCTTTGATTGATTGTGGACTACTTCAAGTCATTTTGCAATTGAACAGTAGCGATCATTGGATTAAGGTGGATTGTCAATTAAATTTCTTAAAGGCGCGATTTGTGCTATTGGTCTGTATTGCAAATTACTATGAGGTGAAGACGCGAGTTAGGGTTGAGAATTCTTCAAATTCTTGTTGTTTGCAAGCTAACTTGGATTTGAGATTTGAATCAAGATTGGATTCATTAT